TCAGCATTCAAGTAACTATAAAAATAAACAATTAAATATTATTGAGATGAAACTGCAGAGCCTTATTAAAGTGGGGTCTCAGGATAGCTGAAGTCAACAAGTGTGCCAAGTGTGCCTTGGGTGTCAGGCTCAAAAATCAATTAAATATGTTAATTTTGTAACAGAGAGACACAACATAGGGATTAAACACACACACACACACACACACACACACACAAACACACACACACACAGCAAAGCATGTGGCAATTGGGCAGAGGTATTTTTTAGTAAGAAGTATAGAAACCCATGTTCAAAAAAAATATTTAGAAGTTGTTTAAAGAGCTGTCAAAAGAGATATTAGGTCCCAGACTGTATCTGACCACAGAAAGGAAATTTACCTCCAGTTACCAGAAAAAAAAAATGTAGCATAGTAATGTAACAGTTTAAATGTCCATTGAAACTAAGTCCTGGAGATGTGCAAGATGTCCTTCTGAACCTATTCCCCCAACTCCACCCTATGGACCAAGAAAGCACCTCTGTTAAATCAAACCTGCCTGAACCAAAGAAAGGCAGGATAAAAAACACACCTTCTTTCAAGGTTCCTCATTCTTAAAGTGGGCATCATGAAAATAAACAGGATAGGACTATCCATCTCTTTCATTTAACTCTGTGGAAGGAACTCTCCAATTTTGGGCCCACAGTCCAATAGCATATTCCAGCTATATCATGACTACAGGATGAAATTAAATAAATTCTAAAGTTCTTTGACTCAATGGATTTTTAGCACCTTACCAAACACAGTAAATTCTAAATAGATAAATGAACAAGCGAATGAATGCATGGCTCATGTATTTTTGAAATGAGTCTAAGTTCTGAAAGTCTTTTCTAAGGTCCATACCAAGGGTCAGCTCTGAAACAGGGCACACCTCCTGCTCTCTCCCTCTTCCCTTCCTCAGCTTCATGTGACCTTTCTTACTTGGTCCTTTCCCTAACCATAGGCTGCAGTGTATCTAGGTTGTGAAAACTGTCTCCAGCATTCCCAGATTTTTCCTTTTACTCTCTGTTAAAATAGTCAGGGTATCTATGGTTCTATCACTTAGAGATGTGCGCTTAGAGATCTTTTATTTATGCTCCTTATTATAATGTTGCAATGTTATCACCATGAGAATGGGGCTCATGCCTGTCTTTATTCTTTATAGCTACTCTATGTGCAATATATAGCACAGTATGGGCATAGCAAAGTCTCAAAAAATATTTACTAGCAAATGTAACAGCTTCTACCCTATCTACTCATATCTCAACAAAGTATCCTTGGATACTTCTGATTCCTAAAGAGAAAAAAAAGGAAGGGAGAAAGAAAAAGATGTCAATGTTAAGTGGACAATAAAATAAACATAGTTCCAGCTAGTATACAACTCTCCAAAATGACCATTGGGATTTCATATACTATTCTGGAATTCTGTAGTGTGGGACTAAGGATGGAAGTCTCTAGAACAGTGCTATATATAAAACCTTCCACAATGATGGGAATGTTCTATATTTGCACTGTCCAATAGGGCAGACACTAAGGACATGTGGATATTAACCATTTGACTTATGACTAATTTAATTAAGGAATTTAATTTATTTCCATTCATTCAAATTAGGGTTAAAATTGCCCTATACATGTGACTAGTGACTACTATATTGGAAAGAAGAGCTATACATTAATAACTGGCACAAGGCCACATGCTAACATTTAGGGATGCCTTTGATTCAAAAGAACAATCTGCAGTCATCCCAACCAAATACTTTGAAATAGGACTAAGGAAAATCATGCTAAAATTTTAACAAAATTATGTTTATTCTTTTGTGGCTGGAAGATAGAATACTGTCTTCTGAGAAAAACAATTCTTACTGATTCAAGCTTGTAATTAATATAGACAATAAATTTCAAGCTAAATACTTAAATCTCTTAAAAATTTTTAAATCTTTTAAAAATTTCTGAAAGGCCAGTGCTGTCCTATGAGGTTCTCATCTGATTGTCACGTCAGTGACTTGGTTCAGAACATGCTTCCCCAAAATAGAACACTTTGAATATTTAGGCTGAAGGAATTTGAGAAATAGCAGGTGCAAGACAGACTCTCTGATCTCCCCTTTTTCCCCTGAGGCAGGTTGAAAGTGTCCTCATGTGAGCAGTGCCCTCCCCATACCTGGAGAAAGAACATCCTTATGTTTGAAGACAGAGGGTTGCCAAGAGGAATCCAGACAAAAAAGCCTTGCTAATTTCCCCGAGTTTGCCACCCATGGCTCAAACCCTTGTCCTATCAAGTTTTTCCACCACTTTTCACTATTTGTCAAACCTCGTACTAAAATACTCAGGCTAACCTACTTCTTTGGGTCTTCATTTCCTTTCTGAGGCTCCCATGTCACATAAAACTTACATTAAATAAAACTGTATGTGTTTCTCCTATTAATCCATCCTTGTCAGTTTAGTTTTCAGGCACAGCCAGGGACCCTAAGAGGGTCCCAAAAACCTTTTTCCTCCCCTCCATCAGCCTTACAGGAGACAGGAAAGGAAGAACGTCTTTGGCAGTGGTATGACAGTGATGGCCAAAGTAGGTGACCAAGTGTGACTCAGACCGGTATGCTGCCAGCAGCGCTGTGTGAATGAGCAGGGAATGTAGTGAGGAAGTGAGAACACAGAGTGGTAATAGGACCAGGAGAGGTGAAGGTCTGCAAAGCAGAGGCATGGGTGACCATAGCAGGCAGGACACCCTGACTGTGTGTGCAGTGTTGCCAACTCTATCAAAAGTAAAATCTTTAAACTTATCTACTTGGAGAAGTTTATTAACATTAACACCTAAGACTGTCATTCTTGTCCTCCTAGCAGAGTATGCAGTCCTGAAGATGGGGCACCTTTAATACTACGGATAGAAGATTATGACCCCCATTAGGGTAAAAAGATCCTTAGTTAGGGCTTGGGGCAGGCCTGACCAGAGAGGGCTCGATGGGCATGTGTGGCCTGCTAAGGGGTGTGGGTGTTTGTGTGTCAAGTAATCACTTTCATTTCAAACTGCATTGCTCCCTGCCTATTTCCTGCTCTTTAGCAGGGAGTCTCTAGCCTGTTCAGAGGTAACAATATTCTAAATACAAAGAGGCATTTCCGAGTCTCTCCTAAAAGTGGCAGAGCCAGAGCCCTCCTGCAGGGCTGGGCTCCCCTTGCCTACCATTATTCATGGGCAGACTGCTCAAACCACTTCCACCATCTGCCTCCAGCTGTGTTGGCATAACAGAAAGTCAAATGTGCTGCAACAAGCTCCAACCCTGAATTTATTGTAAAAGCCACCATTTCTGTTTCATTTGGCTAGTAAACAATCTCACACTATTAGGATGGTTAATTATAAATAACAGTCTAGCCTCTTTTAATTGAAATCTACATTTATTTAGAGGCTTTTCATGAGACTAGAATTAAGAAACAAAAAGCATTAGGAATGAATGGAAATGGACCACACTATTCAAATAGAAAAACCTCAAAACCAAGCATTAAAGTGCCTCTAAAAAGTAACAATACTTCCTACTGTAGCAGAAATTTCCCTCTCCTAGTCTTAAATTGCATTATCAATACTAAGTCTTCTATCATTCTTGAGCTAAAGCAGGGCTTATCAGTGTTAGTTTGACCTTAAAATCTACCTATAGAAATACGTATGACTGATGGTGCATTGGGCTATTTTAAAGCAAATGAGGAAATTCATGGAACTCTTTCATTAAAAACTATTTATTGATCACCTGTCATGTACATGTAACTGAGCTAAATGCTACAGGGCAATGATTTGGGAAATTTTGATTGCAAGAACAGTAAGAAACATATTTTATATCATGACACAGTATGTGACACTTGCAAACATATTCATATGACCTAATATTTTTTGAAATAATATTTAACCTTTATATTTGTGATACATCCTGATATTGTGTTTTTCAGTTATAGTCCATATATTCTAGTTAATATTATCCCAATATTCTAATTAATAATTTATTATTATAACTTACTTAATAAAAATGACAAAATTAATTTTAAAACCCCCTAATGGGTTGAAATCTGCAGTTTGAAAACACTATTTCAGTGACAGCAAGATTAATAATAGTCGATTTCCTGCCCTTAAGGAGCTTACAGTCAAATCACAAAGTTAAAACTAAATAAATAGAGATAATAACAATAAAACTAAGAAGAGAGAAAGAAGCAGACTGAGAGTTCAATTAAAGGAAAGATGATAATAAAAGAGAATATTACAGGCATCATGAACGTTGAAAAAAGAGATAGGTTACACTAAGTCAAGCAGTTAAAACTGAGAAATTGATGCTTATGATAGATCTTGAAAGCAGGTAGGGTTTGTAAGAGGCAAGATATACGGAAGAGTAGAAATGATATTCCAGATGGAATTCACAGCATGGGCCAAGGCACACAGATGAATAGGGAAAGGAGGGGAGGATAGGTGAATCATCCATTCTGGCTGGGGAATAGTGTGCAGCCTGAAATAATAGAGAATATTGGAGAGATAAAAAGACCTTGGATGTCAGAATGAATATTATTTTAAAATTCAGAAGGCAATGAGGAAGGATTTCAAACTGTCCATCCACCCATCCATCCATCCCAACAAGAATTTATCAAGCAGCAGCAGGCAAGACCCTCTACAAGGTACAGGAGAAAATGAGCAAGAAAGAACTCCTGCCACTTTACTGCTAATATCTTTGCAAGAGGTGTAAAACTCCTAAACAATTAGCAACAACATAAGAAGAAACCATTTAAGAAAATTAATCTGGCAGCCTTTTGGAGAAGAACTTTGAGTTGTAAGAGACTAAAAGCAGGAAAGCTAATTTTGAAATGGAAAAGACTAGTTGTCTAACAAGTTGAAAGATGAAATGTAACTGTTTCTGCAGGGTTTGTGTGTTTCAGCTCTGCCGGTCCAATGTTCTTTGTCCGCCTTTTACTGAGAAATTTGTGTGAGTTTGGCAGTGAACCATGTTCAAGGCCAGTTCAGCATTCCTCGGCCGTGATGTGCTTACAGAACCATCTGCCCATCCTCTACCCCACACCTATTTATGCAGTGCGGTGCATGTACGTATATCGCTTTTGTCTGACAGGTTTCATTTTAATATCATTATAGCATCATTTTTGCCAGTCCTGGGTTCAGTCTCAGCTGGAGATAACATACTCCTCCTCTTGTCTGTTATTTTGTTCATTTCATTTTTTTCTGTCATAGTGGATTTTATTAACATGAAAGGCAGGGTATGAAATTGTTATTAGATTTTGTTTAGCTCACTTCACCATTACATCCAGTGCCTCATATTTCTAAATGCTAGAGATGTTACAGTAATCCAAGTCCCTCTAGCACTAGGGAAAAGGTAACTTTATTTTTTAGCTGCCTGATCTATGTTTGGGGTGATGACGATCTACTTTTCTCCTTTATAAACTCTTATTGTGTAATTTTCTCTTTTATTTTATAACAAATACTTTAATCCTTTTTACTTAGGATAGTTGTAGTTGGTCATAAAAGGGGCCACTTGGTATCAGAACACCCTCACATATTTGCCTAATAAATCCTTTTTAAGTAATCTGGCCCGTTGTTAATGGCTTTTTTTAAGCCAGTCATACACTTAGAATCAAAATTAGCATCTAAATGAGGATGTTTTAAAACGCATGCCTAGGGGTTGCTGGTTTCACCTTTTTTATAGTTTGCCATGTTAAATTATGTAAAATAGAAATGGTATTTTAGTATTTAATGAGCTAATGCAGACCCTATTGAGACCGCTTCCCATCCCCCACTTTTCTCTTATATAGCCCACAAAATGCTTTTTAAGGTGTGAGAAATGGCCATGAATTTTAAAGCAGAGAACCCTTTCCTTCTCAACAACTACTCCATATCAAAAGCAAGGTATTACTAGGAAAAATGCTGGGTGTTGGAAATCTGGCTTTATAATCAAACATTTTTATCTGATGTTTCTATACACAATAAGATTAATTAATTTAGCATTTAATCTTTCTAGAAAACTTCATCCTATTCAATTAGCAAAAATTATTTACTTAAGAAATGATGGCACAAGCAGAAGAAAAATGAAATATTCTTTCAGAAATATCCAAAAAACATTTTTAAAAAATCATGGTTACAGAAACATATAAATATTATAAAGAATAGAAGTCAGGGGTTATAACTAGAGATCAGTGTAGTTTAGCTGGGCATCGGGAACATTTCCAGAAAAATTAGATCTATTATCTGATAGTTTGGTCCCACTAGGTAAGAGGGGCTTCATTGTTCAAGTTATTTAGAAACAGATGACACCAAATGAGGACTGTGGTATAGAAGAGGGAAGGAAGGAGTGATCAGATGAACTGATAAATTGGTTCTTTCTGTAAATCCAGAGATACTGTTTCATAGTGTAGAAAATTAAGATAGAAAAATTTCTATGTGGGATTTGGTAAAAATATTGGTAAATGATCATTTCTGTTTAATAAATTGAATTTAGGTGGAAAGATCATAGGGAAAAATGTGTATATATATATAATATGCATGTGTATATATGTGTGTGTGTGTGTGTGTGTGTGTGGTATATATACACACATATCTCAAAAACCACATGAGATTTGAAGGCTTAAACCGTCAATAACTCTGGAATTTCAAAGCGCTGAGATCTAAGGTGCTTGTTTTCTTCTATTTTTTATCTATTACCTGTGCTATTTCTGTCCTTTATCATCCACACCCTCACCTCCTTACACAATCTCTCCACTCCTATCCTTAAACCAATTTCAATTTATTGTTCATTTTACAAGATCAACTTCACTTCTCAATTAATGACTTTCTCTCAACTGACACCATTGTTATAGAAAAATCATATTTTTGCCTTTTCTTCTTAATAATTTTTAAAATATTTTCTCTTTTTATAGTATTTTCAGCATATGATTAAACCAGACTTTTTAATGGACAAAAATAGGCACCTCTAAGTAAAAACTAAGATTTTCCATTCTGTCTATGTAATCACTCCTTAGAAATGACTACTAATAATATATAGGTATATATTTGCTGTTCATGAAAACATTTCCATGTATACATGAGTGTGTTATACTCTTTTATACATTAATTTTTACATTGACTTTTTTTATATTTATTTGTTCTCTGCAATAGGTATTTATGTTGATTCCAACATCGTACTCATATATGGCATTGCACTTATTGTCTTTGAATTTAAATATATGCTGGGTCAAGTATAAAATATTTATTGGGTTACATCTCTAAATTTGACTTTTTTTTCAAATCGGCCTCCAAAAAGCTTGAACTAATGGCCCAAATGTTCATGAAACTTTACGTTCCACATTCATATATTCACCAAGAGACTCAGTATTATCAATCTTTTTAATCTTTGCCAATCTAATATTTGAAATTTTTTATTGTTTACTTAATTTGTGTGTTCCTATTATGTATAGCACTATGCTTTTTTTCATGTTTATTCACATTTATATTTCTTTTTCTTTGGGCAGCCTTGTTTAGACCTTTTCCCATTTTGTTGGTTTCTTTTCAGTGTGTGATATTATGTATACTAGCCATTTGTGTGGTAAACAGTTTTTTAGAGTCTTATTTGCTTTTGACTTTTTGGTTGTTTTTATAGAGTCAAACTTTTTAACCCTCTTTGCTTTTATGAATTTTATTTTTCATGTCATGCTCACAAAGTTTCTCCTTGACATAGTATTTTAATTTTCAGTAGAATTTGGTCCCTGTTGCTTCCATAATATTACCCTTTCTACAGGACTGGCAGGTTGTACTATAAATACATATTTCCATAACTAGACTATAGGTTCCAAGAGTGTAGGCACTAAGTCACATTTGTTTTTATATTAGCAGAAAAGCCAAAATATCATGACATATAAATAGTAGCTAGTAAATAAGTAAGTAAATGAAAATAAATAAGTCATAAATAAATGAATCAGTGAATGAATGTATAAATATGAAGTTTATCATCAGCATGATCATCATGAAATGAATTTAAAACCTTGTTATGGAATTAATCATTTTCATTTACAGAATCATGAAGTTCTAATTCCTAAAATTCTCTATTACTTAATTTTCTACATTGCAGTTTTTGAATTATTTCATTAAACCTTTTCTGTAGCTCTAATTTTAATATATTTTTGTTGTTTCTTTTTTAGTGTTTTCTCATTTTTATAAGTTGTATAGTCTATACACTGCTTCTCTTTATTTTAGCAGGCATAGCATTTTATTAGTTAAAATGCTTTGCTAATATTTGTTAAAATATTGAATGCTCTAATTTTAATTCTACCCAAAATAGTTAAAAGTAGGACAAAGTTTCCTTAGGACTGACAGAAACCATGTGGAACCATTAGGACCTTGGCTCACTTAGCTCCGCGTCCTCTGTTGTCAGCTCATTCTCAGACTGGCTTTTCCTCAATCTTGGAAACACTTATCCTCAAATGGAAACATAACCATTTACAGCTTTTGGGCTCAATATCCTCAAAGCTTAGCAGCCACAGAAATAAAGAGCTTTGCCTTCCAGGACTGTGTTAAAAATAGATACATACACATATACATAAAAGAAGATAATGATTAATTGGCCAGGCCCAGGTAAGAAAGACATCTCTTAAAATCATCACTGTAGCTGTGGTAGTGATATGCAATGCTTGGGTGATTATAGGCCCTGTGACTACTGTGGACTCAATTCTATTACCAAAAAGGGTAATGGAAAATAATACATGTCTCAGCAAGTGTCATGGTTAAAATCTATGGATCCAAAGTCAGACAGTCCTGAAAATGTCTTGAAATGCTTTATGACTTAACCTTTAGGAGCCTCCATTTCTCCATATAGAAATAAGAGTAGTAAAAGTAAACACTATAAAAGGGTGTTACAAATATCCAACGACATAAGTTTTTAGCAAATTACTGTTCAATAAATCTTAGCTGACATCATCATCCTCAGCTTCATCCTCATTTACCATCACCAATGAATAAATAATCTGAAAGACATTTTAGAAATGGGAGAACATTTTTTATATGGAATATAATTGAGAAAATAAGAAGAAACTGATGGACAAATTTGGCAAAAAAAATTATGAGATGTAAATGCTCAAATCCTTCAGATACTACAGAATCTAATAACAGTAGATATAAATCATTAGCCGCTTAGCACAGTGTTAACTTTTTTACACATCACCTCATTTAATCTCACAACAATCCTAAAAGGCTCCTATTTTACAAATAAAGAAACTGAAGCTCATAAAGGTGAATCACTTATTAACGACTAACATGATATTAAGCTAAATCAAGCTAAATTTGTATAAGATAGCTTTGTTCAGTAACCACTGGATGTTAAGAGTCAGGAAAACTGCTCTGATTCTGAGTGTGCCTCTAGTAGCTGCATGGATATAAATGGAATCAGGTAACTTTTTTGAGATTTCATTTCCACATTTGTCATATTGAAATAATACCAGGCTCTACTAAGGAGGAGAGTGTGATGCTCAGTATTTAACACACCCACCACCCCACTCTATACAAGGAACAGGAAACAATTTTTTACCCTTGGGTCTCTGTGTTTAGGATTCGTGACTGATATGAAATCGATACAGATAGGCTGATCCAACATTCATGGGCACAGAGAAACAGACAGGTAGTAAAATGAACTAACATCAAAAGAAACAGGGAGAGAAGCCAGCAGCAAATCCCATGGAGTGGTAGAAATCATGAGGCAGCAGGAACCAGGAAGTAGAGGAGAGAGTAACCCAGAGGCAGACACCAAGACAAGGATAAACAGATGCTTACCCGCCAACCCTACCATAACTATCAAAAATGAAGAAAACCTGCTTTAATGTACCATCAGCGGTACATTAAATCACCATGTAAATTTTGAAATCTAACTTCTCTGACTTCTGCCTACAAGATTGTTAAGGTGGTTTCTTTTTCATTTCTCTATCTATTCCTACAACTCCCATTAGCTGGACTAACCTGATCAGGCTTCTGTGCATTGAAATCAGAAAGTCTAATAGGCAGCTCTATGAGCCTTAAATGAGGATAAAATTAAGTACATACATGCTGAAGATAAGAGTATAAAAAACTG